ACATGATATTGAAGATTTGTTTGACAAGGCTTCTGCTTCTTATAGAAGAGCTTCACAAGGAAGCTATTTTAGGCCAGCTCCCTCTAAGTTTTTCCCATCAAGCAAAACACTTTCAGAAAATTATCCAAATAGGATTAAAATAAGTTTTTTAGTCTTAAAAGCAGTTTTTGACTTTTTAAAAGCCCTGTCAAATGGGCCCTAGTTTTTCCCACCTGCTAATATTTTTGTCATTGAGTAGCAACGCTAATACTGTATTTTATAGCTACAAGTTCTGCCCTCATGGTTCCTAATCCGACCACTTACTTATTTCTATTCACTTTTCTCTTTTGCCAGCTTTATTTCAGATAATCCGCACAGCAATGAGCGGAGGCTTGGCTTGAGTTTCGTATTAGCAATGAGATTGGGTATATGTGGTGTTGGTTCACTTAGGTGTGACATAGTAATGAACAGCGGAAGTGAAAATTCCTTGTGTATTGAATTTGATGTTCAATTTTAGGCGTCTTCCTGTGGTAGATTGAAATGCCATAGTCGATACAGTTTTGTCAATCATGAATTAACTATCTTATTTACTAGTTTGTTGTAGAAAGTTTTAGCAATATACTGATATAACAATCTATACGTATATTTGCACTCTTCTCAAATGTTTTTTGCTGTTTATTGTGTGTGCATAGTGGCTTTGCATGGCTGGTGTTTTTCCCACTTGTGAAACAGAGCCAGTTGTGCAGATAAACCGGATTAACCGGGATCTGGTTGGATATTTCTGATTAACTAGTGTTAAAATTGATTTTTAACTAAACCAAATAGTAGGGCTGCACGAAGGAAAAAAAAAAAAAAAAAAAAACCTGTGAAACCACAAATCGAAACAAACCCGTTTGTTTGAGTATGTGGACCTGCAATTTTTTCTCCCTCAAATCGAACCAAATCGTTTCAAAATACTTTGGTTTAGGTTTCAATTTGCAAAACTACGATACTCTTTCTAGCAAAGGTCATTGTACGTCATATTGACACTCGAAATATAGTTGAAACCAAAATTCTCAAATTGATCGTCCTCGTTTGTATAGATTGTAGAGTTTTTGGCAAAAACAAAGGAAGATATTGTATTTTTGAGTACTCTAGAGAGTTCTCTTCTTGGCCTTATCAATCTCTCGACAACTTCTACTTTAAATATTGTTCTCACAACAAATCAAAAATCCTTTGCTTCATAAGGCTGTTTCTCACTTCAATTGTTAATAAATTTATACGTTAACATGTTTTATATATATTACTATAATGTCGATAGATAAAGTATGGATTAAACTCGAATAATGGTTTGATTTGAAAAAGTTTCAAATCGCGTGAAATGATTTGAGTTGAAAATATGGTACAAACTGTCTAAATCGAATTTCAGTATTCACCCAAACCATATAGGGATTAATTAACACATTTGATCCCTTTCGTGATGGTTTTTTTTTCCCGGACATTCTATTAGAATTTTTTTTACTACTTAAAAATATGTTGAACAAAAAAATATTTTTACATCTTTATCTGACTTTTTGGACGAAAATTGCTGTGATGAACATATGTGCTAATTAACAAAATTGTGCAACCAAAAGTAGCGCAAGCCTATTGAAAATATACAAGCAGGTTGTCAACCAATTATGTTGAGGGCAATGGTCCAAACCTTTATTTTTGTAGTGATCAAGTTTGTAAAGGACAGTCTTATCTTTATCTTAAAATAAAAAATCAATTTATTTTTTTATTTTTTATTGAAAAATGGAAGCGTTTGGCCCTCGTTTTCTGAAAATGAAAATAGGTGGAATAGTATTTTTTTGAAAAATGAGTAGTTGAAAAAAAAAAAAAAAAGGTTTTCAATTTACGTATAATACTATTTTATGGAAGATCGTGTGACTGAAAATAGAAGAGAGAAAAATGAAATGTAATATAATGAAATTTAATAGAGGATATGTTTCTTCTTTCATTTTTTTTTAATTTTATTTTAATAATATTGGTTTGGTCACTTTGGTGTCCACAAAACTAGGATGGCATCACGGTAAAATTAGGAGTTCCTCGTGGCTCATTTATGGTATTAAGATACTGTTGACGCATAAAAATTCAGCCCAAATCGAACAGCCCAATGAGTGAAGCCCAATTGAAGGATTCTCAAATCAGATAGCCCAAATAACGAAGCCCAATCGAACAAATCAAGATGAAGGCCCAAATAAGGAGGCCCAATAACGCGGTAACGCCATCGCCCAAGTTTGCAAATCGCCCAAAATCTGAGCGAATGGAATGTCATACAGTCGTCCAAAGCTGTTACTCTATTCTCGTCCAAACTTTCAAGTCGCCCAAGGTCTTAACAAACATAAAACGTCGTGGTTATCAAGAAGTGCAGTTATCAAAGCAGTTATTAAAGCAACCCTATCACGTTTCACGATTCAAGAAATTCAATCGAAAGCGATTGAACGATGAAGGGTAATGGCAGCAGTTAAAAAGGCAGTTTTCATGACAAAGTGGCCATTACGAAGAAAATACATTTTTTCAAAATTAAAGCGGTTGAAACACACCTTTAATCTAAAATTTCGGATTATTTCGCCTTTCATGTAATTTCATGAATTTGTTTACTACAGTATGTGCACTCTATGTAATTGGTCATTTTGCAATTTCTTCGTATGTAGATTCATGAAATTCCTTTTCCTTTCCATAGAGACCAGTAGATTGGATCTAACCATAAGAAAAATGCTTGGTATTTCTCATGTTGTTAATTGCATCCTTAATTTGCACAAATTACATTTGGTTTCATATATGCCTAATACATGATATGCTTTTTTTTTAAACACTAAATCGAATACATTTTCTATTATGTGTGGTTGCAAGTAAGGAATCTATTAATGTGTTCCCATTTTTCTCTCTACAAATGAAGAAGAAATCCATCTCTTCCTCTCTCCGTCGCATAACTCTCTTTTCTCTCTCTACTCTTCCTTTCTCTGTCGCACAACACTCTTTTCTCTCTCTACAAATGGAAAAGAACCTCTCCCTCCCTTTATCTGAAAAAATCTGATCTGGTAGTCTTTAGTTGTAATTATTCTAAGAAAGGTAATTATATTTGGCCACAATATTGTTCTGATCGATCTGTTTATACACGTATTTGAGCAATTCTATGGGTGTGAAAGGGTTGTCGATTTATATGCTTGTAGAGGAGCGGTGCAGTGGCGACTCGACCAACAACTAAAGCTTCTGATCTGGCAGTGGGGATTGAGCAGGTAAGGTGGGTAGAGATGTTGGACATGGGTCGTGGCAATGTAAGGAAATGGATAGAAGTGGAAGGAGAAGGAGAGAGAATGTGACGAGAAAGAAGGATGAAAGTAGTTTTGAAAGTGCTGGCGATCGTAGTTTTTGAGGTGAAGATATTATTTTTTGTTGTGAATTTACGTTAGATGTGGTAGTGGTGGTGCATTAGAGATGATCGTGGTGGTGACTAGTGGTGCTAATATACGATATGTACAAATTTGTTTGTGATGACACTCTGTAATTAAATATGTGTTTATTGTAACTAGTTATTGATTGTGGCTTGATCGCATACCGTCTGATTACAGGTAGACACATTGAAAATAAATTTGATCATACTTGGTTGCATTGAAGATAAATTTGGTCATAGTTAGTTATAGATAACAAAGGTTAGTGACTTGGTACTATACATACACAAGTTAGATAGCTAGAAATAGTCACACTGAAGACAAATTTGATCACATTTAATTACAGATAACATAAATTAGTGACTTGGTTACATGCAGTCACAAAATAGACAATTACACTGAATACCAATTTGATCACAGTTAGTTATATATAACACAAATTTAGTAAAAAAAATCTAGTCACAGATAACACAGTTGTCAAATCTAGAATGAGTTCGTAGGGTTGGGGTGTAAATCCAAAAACATTTAAAAAATTTTGAATTGTTTTAAAGGTTGGGGTGGGGTGTAGGGTTGGTGTGGTTTCCAGGGTGAGTTGTAATCCCAAAAAAAAAAAAAAAAAGGTTTTCAATTTACGTATAATACTATTTTATGGAAGATCGTGTGACTGAAAATAGAAGAGAGAAAAATGAAATGTAATATAATGAAATTTAATAGAGGATATGTTTCTTCTTTCATTTTTTTTTAATTTTATTTTAATAATATTGGTTTGGTCACTTTGGTGTCCACAAAACTAGGATGGCATCACGGTAAAATTAGGAGTTCCTCGTGGCTCATTTATGGTATTAAGATACTGTTGACGCATAAAAATTCAGCCCAAATCGAACAGCCCAATGAGTGAAGCCCAATTGAAGGATTCTCAAATCAGATAGCCCAAATAACGAAGCCCAATCGAACAAATCAAGATGAAGGCCCAAATAAGGAGGCCCAATAACGCGGTAACGCCATCGCCCAAGTTTGCAAATCGCCCAAAATCTGAGCGAATGGAATGTCATACAGTCGTCCAAAGCTGTTACTCTATTCTCGTCCAAACTTTCAAGTCGCCCAAGGTCTTAACAAACATAAAACGTCGTGGTTATCAAGAAGTGCAGTTATCAAAGCAGTTATTAAAGCAACCCTATCACGTTTCACGATTCAAGAAATTCAATCGAAAGCGATTGAACGATGAAGGGTAATGGCAGCAGTTAAAAAGGCAGTTTTCATGACAAAGTGGCCATTACGAAGAAAGCAGGTAGTTATAGGACGATCAAGCAATTTTTAGAGCGGTTAATCACAAAGAGATCGTCCATGAAGTATAAAAGGGAGAAAGGACATAGAAGCAAATAACGGAATCCAAAACTCTCGAACAGAGAACATGTAATTTTCATTTCCTTAATTTTTAGATTTAAACACTTTTCTTTCAGTAACTCGTGTGCTTGCACCCCTTGTAGGCACGTTATTTTTTATTTCCAATTGTAAAATCATCGCCAATAAAAGAACACCTTTTTTGAGACTTTATCAAGAGGTTTGTCCTTACACAATCGTCTCATCCCTTTTAATTCTTATCGACTAACCCGCGCTAAACAAATACCTTATCCCTCTTGACTTCAACCAATCTGAAAAAGAGAATAGGGATGGATGCTTTGGATTCAGTTTTCGATCCAGTCAGAGATTTTGCCAAGGACAGTATTCGTCTAGTCAAGAGGTGCCACAAGCCTGATCGTAAAGGTACAAATCCTGTATCCTCATTGTACAAAGCGAAAGTTTTGTTATTAGAGGTTAAACTTTGTGATTGTAATATGATTTTGGCCTTTTTATGTATGTAGAATTCACGAAGGTGGCGACTCGAACAGCGATTGGATTCGTGGTTATGGGTTTTGTCGGATTCTTTGTCAAGTTGATTTTCATTCCCATCAACAACATTATTGTTGGTGCTACTTAATTCTTTAGGTACCATCCTTTTCTTGTAATTTCTTGATGGAGATAGAGATAGTATTTTTAGGTTATTTGCTCTATATAAAAGGGCTTATTCGTTATAATTGATTTTTCTCTTTGCCCTAATTTCTTCTTCTCGGATCCTCTTTCTCTTTGTCGTTCCCCTTGTATTTGTTAGTTGTCAAATTTTTACATTTATGCGTCATTTCTCCTCTGATCTGATACGAATACTATTTGCATTTTATGATTTATGAAGTATTAGATTTTGGCAATTTATTTAAGGAAGGCTAGATTTGTGTGTGTTTGGAAAGGTGTTTATAAACAAAGAGGGGTAAATGAGTGGCATTGAAGTGGGTAGTATTTGTGGGTCGTATAAAATTGGTTTGACTCAAAATGTTTTTTGCTTCTAGTGTATAAACACCTAGAAACAATGAGCCAAGATAAGCTTCAATTTGGTTAGGCTTTGAATTTCATTTAAATCCTTGCTTTTTAACTGGCTTCAGGTAATACAAAGTTTAATCATGATTAAATAAACTGTGATTTGACTGCCATAATGCATCGAATTAAGAAATAAATTTAGTTGTTAATTAATCGATGTACTGCTTGACTCAAATGTCAGTTTCTGATAAACTAGTGCTGAGGTGTAGTTTCTCAAGGCATAAAAAATATGTTCCTGTAAAACTCAAGTATTGTTGGTTAATTATGCCCCATGATGCTCGTACTTGTGTACGGGTAATGTATCTAAGTGTCTAATCTTTTATTTTCTAAAATGTAGGATACGAGGAGATGGCTAAAAAGAATCTAAATTTTGGACACGGGTACGTGGATACATCTTTCAAACTTCAAATTTTTTACTAACTCAAGATGTTATTTTGGATAGACCAACAATCAATTGTTCACAAAGAAGGAAATAGTATTGAATAAGGGGTTAAGACGAATAAAATAAAATTTTGGGGTTTAATTTTCAATTATGAAAAATTAATTACTAAATATTATATAAAATAGAAAATGAGAGACTTGAATACAATTTGGATCTAGTGGAGCGTTATGTAGTATTATGTGAAACTCATTTTCATTTTATATAAACAAAACTTTAAACCACTGATACAGAGAGAGGAAAGAAGGAAACAGAAACAAAAGGGAAAGAAAAAAGGAATAAGAAGGGAAAATCTAGTGCCGTTGCCTTTCTCCACCCTTTCGGAGGTGGCGCTAGGTTTATAGAGAGTAAAAAAAAAAAAAAAAAAAAAAAAAAAAGGGGAAAGGGACTGCGTGCAAAAATGCACTGCATATGTGGGGTTTGCCAAAAGTGTTCATTTTAGTAGATGAACTCAATCTATGATGTACTGCAACTCGTAATTCTTAACTTCAGCTAAATGGATGCATTCAAGATGTTCTATTGGAATAAATTTCTCAATCACAGGTACTTGTACAGGAAATCAAAGAACTGGTTCTAGATTGATTGTTGCTGTTCTTTTGGCGATGGTATTTTTATGCACATCTTTATTCATCTGTGGCATTTTATTCATTACATTTCAAATAAGTACACATTCCTCTAATAACATTTCCCCACCAATTAATGAATTTAGAAACGAACGTTTCCAATTTTCTTTCTTCTTTTTTTTTTTCTTTTATTCTGTAACTCATTTTAACCATTTTGTTATTTTTGTTCTTACATCTGTACTGTTGAATTTGTTCTCCATGTCTCAACCTTGGAAAATGAAAATATTAGAATGAAATTAACTGGTTTGTACCCAAAAACACTGCTTGAAATTAACTTGGGTGAGTTCAAAAGGTTGCTAATTTCTGCCTATAATAGGATTAGTTCTTATTTTTTCCAGATGAACCGACCGGTGTGGTCAGTCTGGTCAATAACACTGCTTGACACACGAATCCGTAGACACTTAGATGCTCATATATTTGCATTTACATTATGCTATCAAATGTATTACCAACTTTTTATTTTTCTGCTGGGTTTGAAGTTCGATGTGCTTGTGTGGGTATTAATATATTGGCGAATTAAATGTGTATGAATTATTTTACGTCTGTGTACTACAGGAGCAAAACTTTTTGCTTATTTGTGGTTGTACAACTGCGTATATAGACATTCATGAGAATCTTCGTGTTATTTCTGACAACTATGAGAATCTGCCTTTAATTTATGACTGTTCTTGTACCTTTGGAGTTTGGGATGAGGATCCCTTGTAATCTGTGTAATGCGTGTAAGATAGTTTGACAACTTGTGAGATCAGTGTCTGTGTGTGTTTCAATTTCACTCTGTATATTTATGTACACCTAGCTGTGCAAATATTTAGTGGTTCATTAGTTTTGGAAACCAGTTCCTATTTTTCTCAAGGGAAAAACTCCAAGGTTACTAAAATACAATCTGGTGAAGTAGTCACTTACTAACGAGGGAATAATTCATATTGGAAAAACCACAGTGGACCTACGTGCAACTTTTAATGTCAGAGAAGGTCCTATTTGTAAGGATAAAAATTAAGAAACTTAATTTTCTGAAAAATAAGTTGTAACTTAATTTCGCCTAGACACAAATTTAAATAAAACAATATCTAGATTAAATACAATATTGAATCAAATTATATCAACTTCAAAAGCTGCTTTTGATCGGTTGGTTATTTATATAAAAGTATTTCTCGTAATTAAAAGAGCTTTTAAATGAATTTGATCCAGTGGAGCTTCCTTTAAAAATCTGCAGGAAAACGAAGCTTTCGTATTAAGGTAGTTTTCTGGAAAAGTTATTCTACAAGATGTAGAAGTAAAAGCTAAAATTCTGCCGAACGGGCCAATGTTCAAATAATCAAGAGAGATTATTCCTAACAAGCCGAACAATACCATACAAAGTGCATGAGTGGAAACAAGAGATCCTGCATTTGCTATTCGAATACATTGGAAGATGTAATTATCCTAAGAAAACGCCATGTTAATGAAAGTACTATGATCAATTCATAAACAGACAAAATGAAGTGTTTTTAAGATAATACGAGTGTCTATTATCACTAATCAAAACCTACATTTCTGAAACAGAATGTTGAACAGAATTGAAGAGCAATCAGCCACTTCGATTGCTTAGGTTGCATCTTAGCCATTCGCAGCTCTCAAGCGGGAAATCAACACATCCTGTCCATGGAAATGCAAACATGAGTACCCTCAAAACTGAATGGATATACAGTAGAATCAACCTATGCATGCTAATCTCAAAACTAAATCGAATCTGTTGATTAGTCTGGAAAAATAATAATTAATACCGTAATCAGAGGTATTGCAACATTAAACTTACGTATGAACTATTATGGCTACAATAGAAATAACAAGGTACTTGCCTTTCTCCCCCTCACAGGAAGGCCTTTCTCCTTCAGAAGAGCACGCAGTCTCTCTACGGTCAAAAAATGTAGATTGTCAGGCTCACAAGATTGTGATCCCACTGCATTTTCAAAGATTAATTAGAAATTTTAAGAATATTAGTGTGCATGGCATGAGTGCAACCGTAAGCAACAAAACAATATATACTGATGGATATATTAGGCAAATAGAATTTCTTTGAACTACGCTTAAAAAGAATCTAAATTTTGGACACGGGTACGTGGATACATCTTTCAAACTTCAAATTTTTTACTAACTCAAGATGTTATTTTGAATAGACCAACAATCAATTGTTCACAAAGAAGGAAATAATATTGAATAAGGGGTTAAGACGAATAAAATATAATTTTGGGGTTTAATTTTCAATTATGAGAAGTTAATTACTAAATGTTATATAAAATAGAAAATGAAGGACTTGAAAACAATTTGGATCTGGTGGAGCGTTATATAGTATTATGTGAAATTCATTTTCATTTTATACAAACAAAATTCTAAACCACCGATACAGAGAGAGGAAAGAAGGGGAAAAAAAAGAAAAGGGAAAGCAAAAGAAATAAGAAGGGAAAATCTAGTGTCGTTGCCTTTCTTCACCCTCTTGGAGGTGGCGCTAGGTTTATAAAGAGTAAAAATGAAAGAAAAGGAAAAGAAAAAGAAGCAAAGAATGGTGAAGTGTCCGGTTAAAAGTTGGAGGATCGGACACATATCCATACCCATGTCATGTCTGACACGGGTACTACAACCATGTCGAAGAGTCCAAGCATCAGAGATTATGCCTATGTATGGATCTGACAATATAATACCATAATCAAAAGGTACAGCAGCCCAAGTGACTAGACTTAGCATAAATGAGCCACTGGAGCTGTTCTAAAAATCGGTGACAAAGGAGTTCCCTTTCCTGGACAAAGTTCAGGTTCCAATCTAAAAAAATGGAACTCAACCTTGGAAAATGAAAATATTAGAATGAAATTAACATGGTTTTTACCCAAAAACACTGCTTGAAATTAACTTGGGTGAGTTCAAAAGGTTGCTAATTTCTGCCTATAATAGGATTAGTTCTTATTTTTTCCAGATGAACCGACCAGTCTGATCAGTCTGGTCAATAATGCTGCTTGACACACGAATCCGTATACACATAGATGCTCATATATTTGCATATACATTATGCTATCAAATATATTACCGACTTTTTATTTTTCTGCTGGGTTTGAAGTTCAATGTGCTTGTGTGGGTATTAATATATTGGCGAATTAAATGTGTGTGAATTATTTTACGTCTGTGTACTACAGGAGCAAAACTTTTTGCTTATTTGTGGTTGTACAACTGCGTATATAGACATTCATGAGAATCTTCGTGTTATTTCTGACAACTATGAGAATCTGCCTTTAATTTATGACTGTTCTAGTACCTTTGGAGTTTGGGATGAGGATCCCTTGTAATCTGTGTAATGCGTGTAAGATAGTTTGACAACATGTGAGATCAGTGTGTGCGTGTTTCAATTTCACTCTGTATATTTATGTACACCTAGCTGTGCAAATATATTTCACTGCTTGTATATTCATATTTAGTGGTTCATTAGTTTCGGAAACCAGTTCCTATTTTTCTCAAGGGAAAAACTCCGAGGTTACTAAAATACAATCTGGTGAAGTAGTCACTTACTAACGAGGGAATAATTCATATTGGAAAAATCACAGTGGACCTACGTGCAACTTTTAATGTCAGAGACGGTCCTATTTGTAAGGTTGTGTTGATTTCTTATCTCTTTTCTCTCCATCTTTCATTTTCCTGGTTTACATGTTTTCTTCAGTTTGTGAGTTTGTGAATTTGAGATAAATCTACTGTCAATATTAAACAAACTCTTACGCAGCTTCTTCAATGAAAACATTAGAATGATCTTAATTGGCACTGCACCGGGGAACTTTCATTCGGTTTTTTCTGTTTTCCATTTCAAAGTAAACAGCATGATTAAACATGCTTCCATTTTTGCCTGTGTTGTATCATTCAAAATTATAATTGCTCCTGTTATTTCTGGAAATGGAGTTCTTGTTTGGACGCTAATTACAGAATTTTAAGAGCACTGAGTTGTCGATACTATCACGTGGATCCAGATGAACCGACCGGTGTGGTCAGTCTGGTCAATAACACTGCTTGACACACGAATCCGTAGACACTTAGATGCTCATATATTTGCATTTACATTATGCTATCAAATGTATTACCAACTTTTTATTTTTCTGCTGGGTTTGAAGTTCGATGTGCTTGTGTGGGTATTAATATATTGGCGAATTAAATGTGTATGAATTATTTTACGTCTGTGTACTACAGGAGCAAAACTTTTTGCTTATTTGTGGTTGTACAACTGCGTATATAGACATTCATGAGAATCTTCGTGTTATTTCTGACAACTATGAGAATCTGCCTTTAATTTATGACTGTTCTTGTACCTTTGGAGTTTGGGATGAGGATCCCTTGTAATCTGTGTAATGCGTGTAAGATAGTTTGACAACTTGTGAGATCAGTGTCTGTGTGTGTTTCAATTTCACTCTGTATATTTATGTACACCTAGCTGTGCAAATATTTAGTGGTTCATTAGTTTTGGAAACCAGTTCCTATTTTTCTCAAGGGAAAAACTCCAAGGTTACTAAAATACAATCTGGTGAAGTAGTCACTTACTAACGAGGGAATAATTCATATTGGAAAAACCACAGTGGACCTACGTGCAACTTTTAATGTCAGAGAAGGTCCTATTTGTAAGGATAAAAATTAAGAAACTTAATTTTCTGAAAAATAAGTTGTAACTTAATTTCGCCTAGACACAAATTTAAATAAAACAATATCTAGATTAAATACAATATTGAATCAAATTATATCAACTTCAAAAGCTGCTTTTGATCGGTTGGTTATTTATATAAAAGTATTTCTCGTAATTAAAAGAGCTTTTAAATGAATTTGATCCAGTGGAGCTTCCTTTAAAAATCTGCAGGAAAACGAAGCTTTCGTATTAAGGTAGTTTTCTGGAAAAGTTATTTTACAAGATGTAGAAGTAAAAGCTAAAATTCTGCCGAACGGGCCAATGTTCAAATAATCAAGAGAGATTATTCCTAACAAGCCGAAAAATACCATACAAAGTGCATGAGTGGAAACAAGAGATCCTGCATTTGCTATTCGAATACATTGGAAGATGTAATTATCCTAAGAAAACGCCATGTTAATGACAGTACTATGATCAATTCATAAACAGACAAAATGAAGTGGTTTTAAGATAATACGAGTGTCTATTATCACTAATCAAAACCTACATTTCTGAAACAGAATGTTGAACAGAATTGAAGAGCAATCAGCCACTTCGATTGCTTAGGTTGCATCTTAGCCATTCGCAGCTCTCAAGCGGGAAATCAACACATCCTGTCCATGGAATTGCAAACATGAGTGCCCTCAAAACTGAATGGATATACATTAGAATCAACCTATGCATGCTAATCTCAAACCTAAATCCGAGCTGTTGATTAGTCTGGAAAAAAATAATAATAATAAAAAAATAAAGATAATACCGTAATCAGAGGTATTGCAACATTAAACTTATGTATGAACTATTATGGCTACAATAGAAATAACAAGGTACTTGCCTTTCTCCCCCTCACAGGAAGACCTTTCTCCTTCAGAAGAGCACGCAGTCTCTCTACGGTCAAAAAATGTAGATTGTCAGGCTCACAAGATTGTGATCCCACTGCATTTTCAAAGATTAATTAGAAATTTTAAGAATTTTAGTGTGCATGGCATGAGTGCAACCGTAAGCAACAAAAAAATATATACTGATGGATATATTAGGCAAATAGAATTTTCTTTGAACTACGCACCAAGGAATTCAATATCAAGAAAGGGTGTCTATCTCAGATGATTATTAGCCGTTCTTTTAAATTTTGCAGAACTTTTCTATGTAATAGAATTTTACTTTGTAATGTTCCAGTATCGACTCTGAGGAGTTAGCTACCTCGTCTACTTTGTCTTGGCGAAACGTTCTTTTCTTTGAAAGTTTTTAAGTTGAAACTCAACCCCATGAATAACTATGTTTGAGCCACATTATTTTGATAATAATGCATTCTTGAATTGTGTATTAATGAGAAATGTGTGGTTAAAAAATACGAAAAAAATTTTGATTTACGTGTAATATTATTTTATTGAAAAATATGTGGTTGAAATAATGTTAAATCACTGTTTAAGAATGAATTTTTTTGAAATAATGTGACTCAAACAGGCAATGTTTCTTTTGGATGGAAAGAAGTGATAACGCAATAATTCAGAGTAGAATTAGACTTTTTCTGGCAAAATCTTCAGTTCGAATACTCTTAAAAATTAACTCAGGAGTCGAAACAAGCCAGGCCTTTAAGCTCACTAGCTTCAGCTAAACTCAAGATTCAGCTTGTTAATCAATCCTTCCTGTGATCAACTCAAATTCAGCCCAAAAAAGTTTAATTTGAAGAAGACATAATCCCGAGTTGAACATTTTCAAGTGATCCATTATGATTTTAAATAGAGATTGAGCAATCTCAAGCTCCAAGCAAGAATTTGTCAACAGGCCTAATATTACCTAGACAGGGAGGATAAGTAATGTGACCATTTCATATGAAGAACTAAAAACTTTAGAGAGAATTTCCATCAAAAGGAGATCAGATCCATCAATCATCCCCATTCTCTTCAAACTTGCAAGAGGATAACAGAACAGGTGAAATCATGTATCGATAAACAAGCCACCTAAGCACGATAAACTCAGTGGTGGAATGATATATATCACTTCAACGCTCGTTCCATGTATTAAAACACAAACAGTATATCAGCTTACCTTGAAGATCAGTACTCAACATGGCCCTCTTAGATGCCTTGCCATCCAAATGTCTCTCAGCAGTCCTGAAGAGTTACAGTTGGAAGAAAGATGAACTGGGAAAATTTCAAAAAGAGAGCAACAGTATCTCACAAGAAGATGTATTTAATACCTTTTCCTGAGACCCTGATTCTCATCAATACCTTTCCCATCTTTAGAACAAGAATCAGTTCTCTGATTCATAAGCATAAGAGACCTGATCAATATATTCATTTGGTTCGTCTTTATAAGCTGGTCATCTGACACAAAAAAAAAAATGTTAAAAGAGGTTTTATTATTTACAATGGATTGTACCATAGAAGAGAAACAAACCCATTATAACACCAAGTCAACTTTCGCATGGCCTCATATCAAAGAGGCATGACTTGAGCACTGCACCAAATAAACTTGCAATCCAAGTTTGGCAAAGACTTTAACCCGACTAGGTTTGTTATAACCCAGATCCATGACCCTAACTTGAGATGAGTAAGAAACATTATTGAAATATTTTGGTGTACTTTTGCTATTGCTGAAATTAAGTACAACTTACCCCAAGATACTAGAAATCCTAACCTCACTAATCATTATTTTCATCCGAAGCATTACTAAATTTGACATATAAATGTTAGATGGAAATTTGGAGAACTGAACTTCTTGTAAACAAGTTCCAAAGTTGAACATTATTGTAATGCCCCAATTTTCAAAGAAACAGAAGAGTTACTAAATTCATTTCCTCAACTCATAGCGTGAGAAAGAAAAAAATTTCGTTTCATAATAATTAATCAATTTAACATGATATACATTTTAATGAGTCACGAGATTACCCAATTTGCCCATACACCACAACTAAAACAACAAATTAATATAAGGTTTATAGATTGACACGTAAGAGCAAATGAGAAGTTGGACAAACATTCAAGTCTTCTTTTTCCATAAAAGCAAACTACAAGTTACTGAACTTAATTCCAAAAATGATATTCTTCAACTAACTCTAAAATAACGCTTAAATGCATTATATAGAAAAAAAGGTCTAGCCATATCTTTATTTCAAATGTTACTTAAAAGTCCCCAGGCAACCCAGCTTGACCACTTAATCAAGCATCCGATCAAACCAAACTAACCTGAAAAGTTGTTATCATGTGTATTTTGGAAAACGCTCAACAAGCTAGGTGCAAATCTTGTTCAAACATAATATAAACATAAATCATAACATATTATATTAAATTATTTCATAGATTTTGATAAATTGGTATCATTTACAGACATCTCAACGAATTTCTTGGAACCTCTATCCCAAAGGATTTACTTGGGGGTCCCCAAGGCCATATCCTTTCAAGATACATTTCTTTAGATTGACCCAAAGGTAGATAAGCATTCTGTGTAGGTTTTATATAGATTAAGAAGAATAAGAATTTAACCACGTGCACCTTGTGTATCTTACTTTGAGATTTCAAAACTAGAAAAATTCTAGCTGAAAGAGTGTGAATGCTTGAACTATATTTGATTGTGATGCATATTCTAATGAATCAAAGGATAAAGAAGCTCTGCAAAATAAGTGGACGAAAGAGAGAAGTGAGATGGAGAGAGGGAGGTAAAAAATGTGTACAGATGACCGAAAGAGGAGTGCAAAGATGAAAGAGTCCACACTTTCTTTTCAAATTTAACTATCCTTCTCTCTCTCTCTCTCTCTCTATATACACACACACACACACACACACACGCACACACACACACACGTGTGTGTGTGTTAATAAAATTAGGGGGTTAATCCTCTTATCAAGAAATTTGACAAGCAGCTCTTAAACTAATTCAATGGTCCGGATCTATTTTATTGAAGTCCTGTAAAATCCATATATCCACATCCAAGCACCAATTATGCAATTAAACTTTCTCGAATACATCCTTTTCTCGAATACTATTCACCATGTACCATAAAAGCTTGTTGTCCACAATCAACAGCCTATGTAGCACTGATACTCCAACTAGAGTAGCGTGTCCGTGTCCGACACGTGTAGGATACGTGTCGATACCGACACTGTTCGGATACTCTACAATAATCATTTTCCTTTCTTACTATAGCTATTATATATTTTTAACTCAAAATTTTTAGTAAATAACAAATAAGAACTCATATTTAAAAAATTTCAACAAAAAAGAATTAATAATAAGTATAAAACTAAATTTAAACTATATAAATGAAGAATTTTAAAGAATTTATCGAACGTGTCGACGACGTGTTGTGTCGGTACTTTTTTGAAAAATCACAAGTCAACGTATCTGACACGTATCGTGTCGGACACACGTGTCCGTGTCGGTGCATCATAATCAACAGCTGTATTTTTCCACAAATTGTGTAATTAAACATTTCTTGAACACATCCTTTCTTCCACCTCTTTCATTTCCAAATTGCTCACCTTAAAATTATGCTCATGAAACATTAACATGTTTGGCTTAAAGTACTCATGCAAAAGTTACTCTTTCTCCCTGGCCATAAGTAGTGAAGGAAAGTCTAATAATGAAGACAACTAAGTTTCAATCCCAAAAGTATATAAAGTCCACAATTAGTAGAGATTAAAATTAGAATTTTAGTAGATTTTAACAGTGTTCGAAAAAAGCGGAAAGCGTGGCGAGGTGTGAACCTTCCGCCTAGGCGTAAAAAAGCGCTTTCTTATTTTAATATTATTTTAAAATTTTAAATTAATCAAAAAAATCATTTAATAACTAAAGAAAAATGAGTGTTATAAAAAAAATAAATAAATAAAAAGTGCTCCTAGGCACGAAAAATAAAAGCAAAAAATAATTTTAAAAAGCTCAAAAAAGCATGAGGTGGGAATTTTGCGCCCTCTTCGCACCTGGGTGCCACTTTTTAGAATACTTAATTTTGATAAAAATTGATGAAATGTGTAGTTGAAAAGTAGAGGATACCATGAAATACGTGGTTAAAATTAATTCATGACTTTGACTTAGATTAAAATTATGAATTCATGCTATTTTTCCACAATGCAAACAATGAACAGTTCTGTTGTTCTCTATGAAAACAGGAATCTTTGAAAAACCAAAAGGATTCAACATTAGTAACATGTGTAGAAACGAACCTGGAGGTGATGTGTCATGATCACAAACATAAACCCGCATCATGCCCTGGATAAATTCATCAACATGTAAAACAAACAAATATATAAAAAATCGCAAGAGTACATTCGAGTATTGCCAAAAGACATGCTATAAACAGTTCACACCCAAACCCACACCCACACCCACACCCACACCAATATAGCAGCAAGAGATGTATGATGAGAAGATAATGAATAATAACTAGAAACCAACATTCAATAAAAATAAAACTTACTTTGTCAAAAATAAATCAACCTACATTGTCATGACTTGGCTTAGTGATAATCATAAAGAATAAAGTTGCTGACTTAGCCCCCATTTGGCACCCATTCTTTCCAACTTTTAAAGGTTGGAATAGTATTTTTTTGAAAAATGTGTGGTCGAAAAAGAAAGAAATTTTTTTTATTTGCGTGTAATATTATTTTATGGAAGATTGTGTGGTTGAAAATAAGAGAGAAAAAGAATAAGAAAGATAATGGGGACCAAACGGGGGCTTAGATTCCCAGAGAGTTATAAAATCAAGTAAATACTGTTCTTGGATTGGAAATCAGGTTATTTGATTACCAATCCATATTTCAGTCAGCAGGTAGCTTCTCATATCAAGAATTACTTTGATTCTTGACAACACAATTTCTTCATGATGTCTGAATCCATATAGGCATATACATGCAAATCTTTGCTCTTCTAGGATTTCATGCTTCCCTCAGACCTTCTAATGATTGCTGAATCACTACCAGCTAAAAATTAAATATTCAAACCTATCAGTAAGCCCACAAACAACAAAAATGCTTCAGAAGTACAAATCTTTCGTAGAAGACCACAACACATTACCCAACATCACTCTACTGCATGATCTAATTATTTCAACCTAAATCTCTGACAAAAGAAATTTCTTACCTTCAGTTTGCCCTTTTTAGGTTAAACTAAGCCAAACGAACACAGAACTAAATGGTACTCTCTATCGCAGAACAAATCAAAATTTTACAACTTCTATCAATTTAGTAAAACTCGATTCTCAATTATATACAAGAAGAGAATCAGCATTGTCTTTCTCGGTAAAACAAAAACCCGTCAAAGTCCTCTCAAATCATCAGGCTTAGCCACAATTAACAACCACAAAAGATCAGCATCGGACGTATAAACGACATTATAATACCCTTGTGTACTTTAAAAAAAAAAAATAGAGTCTATACGGAAAAACAATTACCGGGTTGGAAGAAACAACGGTGGAGGACAAGAGGCCGCGAGAGGGGAGGCCGACGAGAAATTTGGCAGCTCCGGCACTGCCATCCTTCGAATTGGAAGGCTGCGACCCCGAGCAGCTACAATCCATTGCTCCTATCAATCTCACTGTACAAAATTAAGAAAAATATTAGCAGAGAACAGGTGAGTCAATTCTGGAATGATTGAGGTAGACACAAAATCAGGCGGGCTATATATACGGGATTGTCAATTTGCACCCGGCGTTAGGGATATACTTATGGCCGGCAGTCGAGCCCACGAGTTGTTGATGCGGCTCGACTCGTGGGCTCGAGCTCGTATTGAACCAGACTTAACTAGTTATGGATCGAGTCATCCTAGGTCACAGATGGACTAGTATTGAAACGAGTCATATCTAGTCGAGTTCAATTTTTTCACAAGCAAGTTTGTCTTGAGTTTGTGGGTAAACTCGAGTTTTGCTCTTGTTCATACAAGCCAAAGGGTCGAGCTTGGCTCATCGTCGCCACTACGTTATTTGACTTAGGTTTATCAGCAGCTTAAAAGTACTCGAATTATTCTCTCTTTTGTTTTTTCATATTTCGAGAGATCAAAAAATACTATCACTTATTCACTGTCAATTTTATATTTGTATATAACTTAAACCGTTCGTGAACAACCTCATAAATTTGTTTCACTATATTCACCAATTAGTGTTCTCGATTGAACTATCCTTACGAAGGCACATTGGGAGTGCTCTATTGAATTGATATCCAAAGATTCTTCGATTTTGCTCTAATTTTTTAACCATAATTTGATTTTTGGTATTTGAATGTAAACCGTTAGGATTAAATTTGAATTGATGAAATGTGCTTATAAATGTTCTATTGTATCGCATTTTTAACATCTTAGTACCCGGTTGTCAATTATATAGCCACACACCCACCATCACACACATCATCAAATCCATTAAATTGATTGATGGATACATGAATAGTAACTTAACTGAAAAAATGTACTGTACAAATTTGATCGACCATTTGTGTTAGATTAAGTATGATGAATAAATTGATAAATTATAAAGGTGGATTTCGTGAAGCTGCTATAACTATCATAAAAAGTCAAAAAAAAAAAAAAGAATTATTTCGAGCATGTTCATGTTCCTCTCGCACATTCATGAAGTTACATGACCAACGCAAATTTTAAACCAAATAAAAGTGAACAATGTGTTCCTACACTTGTTTCAATTTTGTTAAAATTAAATATATTGACACCATATATTTTTAATCAGTGTGACACTCTAAGTGCATGAAACATCAATAACCTTTACTATTGTGATACTGAAGTTCCAATTTTTTTAATGTATTCATATCTTCAATCTCACATTAATTTGCTCTTCTTGTCGCCAATGTTGGTTTTGTCCAAAAATTTTATTAAGAAGAAGTAAGAATAATTATTTGTCCATTTTTAAATAAAAAGAAAAAATATAAATTAAATTTGCGATTAAATATTTGTACCTCATTTTAAAGAGCATTAATAGAATTTTTTAATAAATCTTGTCATTAAAGTTTACTCAATAGAAGATTAAGGATAACAACCATTTCAATTTTTTATTTTTATTGTCTGTTTTTATTTTTTAATGGCAAGTGGCCATGCTACAAATCGGATAAGTGTGGAAATCTCATGGATAAGATCCAAAGCAGGACCCGCTTATACCGGATTAAATACTTTGACAAGGCAACTCTGACTCTGTCAATAGATGGACCCACCTCGCCAATGGAATCCATGCGTGTGTCGTATGATCAGATTCAACGGCCAAGATCACACACGTATTCCCCTTAACCTACACATCAAAGCACCATAGCACAAAAACTTGCATATAATTTTGCTATAGTTTACAATCATCACAGCGTCAACTTTTCAAGAAAGCAACATTTATAAGTATCTTAAAATTTTGTCACTAAGTAGTGTTAAGCTTCGCTTTTGATTGATCGAGTGTGTTTGTCAGTGTTTTGTGCTTGAAATTTGAGTTTATAAAGAGATGGAGGTGAACGCCGATCAGGGCGGAGAAACGCCGCGGAGCCCAGAAGCGAAACTGGGTATGCAGGTGGAGGATTTGTGGGATGTACAGGAACCCCAGTTGACTCCTACTGAGAAGCTTAATGCTTGCTTTGAGAGTATTCCTGTTTCTGCCTTCCCTCCTGCTCCTTCTAACCAAGGTAATTTCACTGATTCTGTAGGTACATTTGATAATTATATGAAGGAATCTATTATTTAATGCTTATTTTGATTGAACCCACATGTGGAATTTGATTGGATTGATTGTTTTTGTGTGTGTTTGTAATTTGATTTGGCGTATGATCAAAGGTGAATTGAGTAATCAAGAAAGTTGAAAACTGTCTGGTGTGAATTAGACAGGAATAGAATTGTAACTGTGGGCGGCACCTGCTCTCATTTTTATTTATTTATTTTTTTTTCAGAAACTTAATTATAAAATTTAAACAACATAGAAGAAGCCTTGTTCTTTTGGATGTGAAGAAGTGCATAATGGATTAGAGTTCATGGCAAATGGGACCATCACAAGGTAAAAGTTGGCAAAAAGGGCAAATGATTTCATGATGACTTTGGGTTTGCTCTTTTTGGCAAATCGCTAGTCTAATTTGATTGGAGTCGAGCCAAAGAATAAAACTCAGGGTCTTTGGCCGGTCAATTTCGGGCAAAATCCATCGTTAGACCCTCGTTTAATCGTTTTTGCTATTTATGGTAATTTTCATTTTTTGCAATATTTCTTTCCATGAAATTCGGATTTAGATTCCATTTGTTGGAGGATGATCCTGAAGATAAGTATTTTCTATTTTAGTAATTATCTCATATTTTCCATTTTTGGAAAAAAATATCTTTATTTTATTTTATTTTCTGGATTTTCCAACGTTTTTTTTCTATTTAATCAGTTGTAAGCTCTTAGAGGCAGTAGTTCTTGAATTCAATAAAATCTTCCTTGAGAATTTTCTCAATTTGTGATCGTTCATCTTCCCTATAATATTTCCGCTACATCAGGATGTCACACCACGGACTTTGCCTACACCGGCCGGCAAGTTTTCTACTCCGGGTGGGGTTTGCATTTTATCCAATTATGCTTTGCAAAGATATATAATTGTATGAGAGCTGAGCAAGTAAGCCCTGGACAGTTTTGCACGATTCTTCGAAGAGTTCATTCTAAAGATTTTAGAGAGTGAAGGCATTTAACTGTTTATATATTTAGCGCGCCTCAATGTAGGCAGGATGTCTCAAAGGTCTAGCAAATGGGATATTGGGTAACGGAGGGATCAGTCTCACGATCATTGGATGCTTTGATACTATAATAATCCTATCATCTAAAAGGTTAAGCTATTAGAAAGGAGAAGAGAATCGTGTGCCTTCAACCATTTTCATATCAGTTTTTAAGTTTTTAACTTCACTGCAGAATTATTGTTTAAGCCAGCCTCATTTAACTTCTGTACAGTTACTGAGATAAGCTCGGATTCGAGTCTGGCTGAAGCGGTGAAGTTACTTGCCCGGAATAAAATTCTCAGTGCACCTGTGGTGGATTGCAAAGCGCCCGAAGATGCAAGTTGGATTGACAGATACATAGGCATTGCAGAGTTCGCTGGCATTGTTGTCTGGATATTGCATCAGGTTTGTAGACCTACATAAAACCTGAATATGAAATATATTTGGATATCTTGTTAAATCTCACTACAGCTGTCTCATCACTGATGCAAAGCGAATCGCAATGAAATGGAAAGTGAAATTAGATTATGATGGTTATTCTACTGCAGAATTAAAACGAAAAGTCAACTACACGATCCTCGAATCTTTAATACAAAATTCTGTTTCATCGCTTAAGGGGGTCCTTTATGACAGAAATGGATCTTCCTCGCAGTTGCCAACATGGATAGGCTGAAGGATTTCACGTGTTCTCTCTTTTTTCTTTACAATTTTGGATAAATTATATGAAAAATCTGTAGCCATTAGATCTTGTTTAAAAAAATTGCAAGGGAGCTACAACAAAGTAAAAAAATGTATCAACTCGATTATCTGTTAACAATACTTAGCAGATTCTACCATCTTATCATTTCAAAATGTCATGTCCTTTTTGTGGGTCTTATTCACACTTTCCTTTGAATAAGAAGCTAAAAAGCAGATATATATTAACTTTTTTGACAGTCAGAAAAGATGGAAGGTGGCGATTTTTTCGACTTGGCAATGAATAGCTCAGGAAATGATTTTGGTCCTGCTGTTGAAGCAGCAACTAATGGAATGTCTTCGCCGAGGTTTAAAAGTGTACACCCTGACTCTCCTACAACAACCTGTGGAAAATTTTTTGAGTTGCTTACTTCTTCCGACTTCTATAAGGACACAAAGGTTACTCGTTCTACTTCCTGTGCTAACTTCAGAATTTCACTATTTCTCATGATCTTGAAATGACGTTTCTCATTTCAGTCTTCCGGTCTTTCTTCTGAAGTTTACATTATTGATGAATAAACAGGTTGGGGATATCTCGGGATCTTTTCGCTGGGCTCCATTTCTTGCTCTGCAGAAATCCAACTCCTTCTTGACGATGCTTCTACTGCTATCAAAATACAGAATGAAGAGTGTTCCTGTGGTTGATTTAGGGGAAGCTAAGATTGACAACATCATCACGCAATCTGCTGTTATTCACATGCTGGAAGAATGTTCTGGACTTCATTGGTTTGAAAGCTGGGGATCCAAAAAACTATTTGAACTTGGTCTGCCATTAATGAAACCTAGTCAGATTATTAAGGTATGTAGATATATTATATACA